ACGATATAAAGCGGAATGGGAGCAGGCGAGGATGAAAGTAGACGATATTGTCACGTTCCAAAGCGTCGCTTCCTTAATAAGCCTGTTGTAGTAGCAAGGATTATTGGTATTCCGAGCCGTCCTTCCGTCTTTTCGTTTGCCGTTTCGCGGACGAAATTCGAGGGAATTTAACGACACTGTTGCCAGGGTTACATTCCCGGAATGGAGTTGGCAGCTTGTAAGAAGATGGTGCTTTAATAAAGACTGCTATAATATTAAAGCGGCGGATTGCCGCAACGCGTAACCGCGAATCACGCGACTCGCTAATGTTTCCAGCTCCTCTTCGAATGTCCCAACGTTTATCACGTACAGTGAAATCTTTCTCTTCTCGTGTTTTCTTTCATAGAATCTTCTCTACATATAATCCTTCGACGACACGTTGGAAATTGCTTTCGAGAGACACCTTGAGAATAATTTCTATTTGCTTCGGATCATCGTTTCGCGTGTTGCGAGATACAAATGAAGGATTTCGGTCTCCTTGGGTGGTACAGGGAATCCCAAATGAAGGTACGGAAATTTAATTAATGAAATATACTGAAATATCCTATCCCCTTGGACCATCTCGTGCAAATTGTCTTCTAGAAATACTTCGGAAATTATGTCTACTTGCTTCGAGTCATTATTTCCTGTCTCGCGAATTACAAATTAAGGATTTCTTAATGGAAATATAATTTACGAAACTTAGTTGAAATTCGTATCGTTACCTTTTTGAGTTATTAAAATATTCACGGCATGGTATGCTCCGGAATAATTATTATTTCCCTTTCGGCGCAAATTTTGGTGTAATTTCAAAATTAACCCACTTTCATATTTATGTTATCAAACGAAACCCAAAGCTCGTATACTTAATTCAGATAACGCTATAAAAAGGATCACGCTTATCATACGTGCGTTGTACTTCTCAACAAAGGGACACTTCTTCAGTAGCAGACGCCGTTAAAATCGCTTTTCCCCCTACCTTTGTCCATTATTAATGGTCGTATACCGTGATAAGGTAATCGTAGGCTCGCTTCTTTTCCCTCAACATCTCCCTCTTGACACTCGTACACCTTATGTTAATGCATCCCAATGTTACTTGTGGTTCATTTATGGTTAGGCAGAGACGGGAAAGTGAACTGTGTGTACGTCGTTTCACGGTTACGACGTCGTTACCGTATCGGTATATATATATATGTATACTTTGGAGACGAAAGAATGCCACGAGGACAGGGGATGAGGGTGGATTCAGTCGCGAGGGACACGGTTCATGGAACGACCACTTTATCCATCGCGTTGGGTTTCAGGATAAATTAAGCGCGACATTTCGTGGGCGGGACTATTTCTTTGCTGCTTACACGAACCGGGGGGTAAAAAAATGCTGTTGGGCAACCCTCCTTTTGATTGGGGTAATAGAAGAGTTTACTGCTTTCATAATCTATGTTATCACTCTCTTGCCGCCTTCTGTTTTCACAACAGATTCTATTCAGTGCTTCGGTAGAATAATGCATTAAATTTTCTTAACTCACTCGAGACTGGCCTCTTATTTTCTTTTTAATATAGTCCCATTCCACGAGTAAACTCCATTTATTTAACCCCATTCCATTTTATTTTACTTCTACGAAAATATGACCCATTGTTCTTCGACGTTCTAAAGTATTAACGCAAACATCCGTATAATACCAGGAAATTAATTAATTATCTGGAATATTGATATTACGCGGTTAACCTGATTTACCACATATATTATATGTGTACATGTATATATAATATAGATTACACAGACACCTGATAGATTCGTCGGTAGATATTGAAAATATGAGAGGCATTAACCGAGGTAATTACAGTTGCTAATTACGTCGAAAATTCTATTAAATTCTGTGTAAGGTTTCAATTTATTCAAAATTCCATATAAAACAATCGTTCATTCAAAGAGAAAGCAGGTGCAATCCCAATGAAACCAAAGGAATTTCTCAGCCGATGGTGCCTCGAATGGTCTCGTTAATTACACGCACCTGTGACTTTGGAAAAGGTGAAAAGAATGTGATTAGGTATAAGAGAAGGTCGAAGAAGGGCGGCTTGAGACGGAAACCAGTGGCGGAAGAAGAGGATGATCCACCTCGGAGTAACGAGCGAACTCCTGCGGAACTACCACCTCATATAATCAATTAGAACTCTTGAACGAGTGAGATGGTAATGGAGTTGAGCTAAGTACAAACTGGAGCAAACTGGCGACGACTTGAACGAACGTATCAACCATCGTCTCTTCCCGATAACCGCTTCCTGTCCACTTTCTCTCCGATCTTCGATAATATCAAGTTTTATTACAGATTGTGCCAGATTAGTGTTGCCTGAATAGCTCGTTAACTTTGATGTATCGCAATTTGTCGAAATTACGAAACTTGATGATATTTTTGTAGGTAGGATATTTTTGTAGGATATTGTTAAAGTACAGGGATAATTTTCGATGGAGAGTATAGTAATAATTTATGAAAAGTACTAAGAAGGAACTTACGTAAAGCTTATTTAAAATTTATATACCTGAAATATTCACAAACGAATCGACTTTTCGCTGTTGCATTAAGATTACGCGAAAGCTTAAGGAGAATCTTTCAGCGTTTAACGCCTCCGTTTTAATCCAACGAGCCATTTATAGTCGCCACTTAGGATAATCGTCGGTCAGTGTTTTTTTCGAAATTGCCCATTATCCCCACCTATGAATTCGCAGGACACTGGGGACGCGTGAAAAAATCTATCACAAAGTGGCCTGGGTAATCTCTGTTATCTTAAGTAGACCTTTCGTTTATGGCTCCTTGGTCCTTGAAGAGGCCACTTTCGACTCCATCCTCATCCCCTTGACGTTGACGGAGTATTGTTCCTCGACCGAGATTTTACCCGGACCACCCGTTCCACTGTAAGGATAGGGTAGATAAGAGGACGAAGGACAGGATCGCCGGGAAACGTCACCTCTTGTTTATCTTGTACTGATTTAGTCTTAGCCCATTTCTGACGAATCTCACCCTTGAAATCGCTTATTAGAATTCACGAGGTACGATATGTAGCGTGGATGATATAAAATTACTCGAAAATATTGCGGTGTTGACAAGAGAAATTGTTATTAAAAATAGTTAATTAGATCCTCTTTGAATAATTTAATATGTAGAATTTTAGAAAAATAATTAGCTATTTAATATTCTCGGAGTTTGCAAACTTCTAAAGGATTCAGGAAGTTACCTGCTCGTGTTCGTGAGTAATTCGAAAATGAAGTTGAACGGATTGCTTGTTACACGTAATTTAAAGTTTCACGTAGAAATACGTCTTCCGAATAAAATTACAGTTCTGTAAAATTACCGTTTCGAATGTAATCATTCTGTCGTTAAAATATTCCTCTCTAAAGGGTGGAACGGAACGCCTTCGTTGTCTACTTTCCATTTCCTTTTATTATCGCTGCGATGATTTATTGCCTTCTGATATAAACGGCTACGCTAAAAGTGATATTCATCAATGTCCATCGCGCTGGTAATTACAGTCGAAATTTAATAATACCATCGGCAACTATATCGGTTCTCCCGGTGCCTCGGTATCCTTGCTACATCTATAAAACGTACGAAATTAGGGGATCCGCGTGTGTAACGGTGCTTCATTAACGGTGACGTAATTTATTGCCGCACGGGACAGTTAATAATGATGAGAATTTAATGGGGAAACTTGGAAATTTCCGAGACAAACGTTAATCATTTTTCAATCGTAAAAAATGCCCGTGTGTCTATGCACGTTGTTAATCACGTTGTCGCGCCTCGACGAGAAATTAATGTAACAGAATGAAAAATGTACCTCGTCTTCCTACTTTGACACGCGAAATTGAACAAAACGATGTCGTCTCTAATTAAAATAAATTTCTATCTAAATCATTATTCTTGTAACTGACATTCTCTGATGGTTGCGACTAATAAGTGAACTTGTAACATCGATAACAACAATACCGCGAACATAAGCTCGGTTAAATGGAAATCGCAAAGTCGATTATAACTATTAATTAATCGGATTGAAACTGAATATACCTGTTCGGTGGTAGCGAACGTAGCGCAACTCCCTGCAAACGACGTTGCAAATTAGCGCATAATAGTTGTTGCGTCTTGGAAAGCCCCGCTCGCCTATCTTTATATCCGTGTGGGTGGAAGCAATTGTAGCAGTTAATAGCGTTGAAAATTAATTAATCGAGAATGACACATTGAAAACGCACCTACTACGCTATTCTGAGCAATGAAACGGAACAATAGAAGGCAGGGAAATGAAAAATGAGAAAGGGGAGGAAGGAAAGAAAAGTAAAAGCAAGGAAGTGGCGTAGATCCAGTGGTACATACGACTCGTCGATTCTCGAGGATGTTGGCACACAGGAGACACTCGGCTTCAGGGTGATCCTCGAGAAGCTCGGTTATTCACTGCTGGCCGAGTTGTCAATAACTTGGCCAGCCTCTCTTCTCTTTCAATTCGTTCCTGTTCCTTTGGCTCGCGTGTACGTTCACCTTCTCCGTCATCGCGTGTGCCGTGAAAGGGATTCTCTCGTTGGCTTTCATCGCGGCCTTCTCGTTTTACGCCGCTAAATCCAATTTCACTTTACCGCCCCGTACATCCAGAGAGGATCTTCGCGGTAACACGCCTGGCCATTGTGCCCTTTCGCCGTTTCCCCCCCTTGTTCGTCACGAGGACCAACGTCCTTCCGGTATATGCGCTCCCTTCTCGTTAACTTGATCGTTCGACATTTTACAGTAGCTTGTTCCTTCCTCGGTATCAGCTATGAAAAGATTTAGGTTTGCGCTAAAACGCTTGACGATGTCGCTTTAAACTTATACTGATTAGAGATGTGATTTTCTTTTGTGAAATTGGTAACACTTTTTATATTTTTTGGGAAAACACTGATTATTTCTTATTATACGTTACTTATTTTAATAAATATTTAATTCACTGTTTCTTTGGTGTTTCAGGTAACTGGCATCGTAGGGCGAGCAGACGTATTGGCCTGCATTTTCTTCTTGTTATCCTTCCTCGCCTATCACGGGTAAGTGTAATTTAATTGATATAAAGTAAAACGAAATTTTGATCGTCTGTCAAAATTCTTAATCGACGAAATGCGAGGAATAGTTCACTGAAATTAGCTAACGAAAATGCGCAAACATCATCCTCTCCCTTTCTCTATTCGCATCTGTACGTTTGGGTTATGAGTAACCTAATAAGGTAGCAGTGTCAGAGGCATAATACAGCCATAACTCTGTGGAACTTAGCTGCTGCTGCACATACATACGTCACCGACGTCGAGCGTCGTTTAGCGTCGGAACGACGCCAGTCTGACGTGGAAACAGCAGCCCATTCATTCGTGTGAGCAGCAGAGTGCGAGTGGTGTATGGAAATTATAAACTAAACTAATTTATGTGGCTCTCGATGCTCCATTAACTGTACACTTACCGTTAGTGCACGTTCAGCTACTCGCTTACATTGATCTTTTTCTAATTTTGCAAAAATCGATATAAAATTTTAGATTTTTTAGTTCCATTTTTCAGATATTATTTTTAATCGTAGTTGATGCATAATTGCAAATGCTTTGTAGATTCTTATCACGGGGAAATGTAAAAATGGTGTTATCAATCGAACGGAAAATTTGCGGCGAAATATCGCAGCTCTTTTTATTTCATGTATTCAGGCAGGTTAGCGTTTCATTGTACCGGTGACTAAAAGCCATATTTTCAACCCTGAAACGAGGCCTCCGAGGTGAAAATGTAATCCAATAAAAGTAACACTCACCGTTCGGTGAAATTAATTTCCACGCGAGACAGGTGTAATTAAACTTGAACCTTTCATGGTCCGAGTGAAATGAGGGCTGGGCTCGTGCCGGATATCGCAATCGATAGCGGTGTATTCGGAACGTACAAACGTGTACTGATCCGGCGCACATTTTTACCGTCACGGTGAAAAGGGAAACAAATATCGAAAGCGGCGCGAACCATGTAAAATACGAGGTATATCGAGAGAAACGAAGTCGTGGTGTTCGCAAACGACGGGGAAAACTACCTCTCGGTTGAAAACGAATGTCGAACCGGGTCACTGTGTCAACCTTCGGGCTTTTAGGTAATGAATCTCGAATGAATATACGTATTTTAGAAAGAAAAAATAATAAAAATTAGAAAAGAAATAGAAAGAAGATGAAAACTGTACGAAACGTTTTAGAACAAATGGTTATTATTCGAAATCAGTGACATGATTTGTCGTGTTGCGAAAACGTATTCTACTGTTTGCAAACGGTGTAGTTCCTTTGAATACTCGTTTCTTTTTTTACTTTTTACTTTTTAATTTTATTCGGTTCATTGCGGTTTTCTTCTTTTCTTCAGGGAGAATAAGGAAGCGATCAATCGAGTCATGGAATATAATTGAAAGTACAGAAAAATTGTTTGCAAACATCTTCTATACGCGGTAACACTTGACAGGATTGGGAAGAAACTTTCAATTACATTTTTACTCTCACCGGAAATCACAGTAGTTCATGTCGATAAGTTTTAACGAGCATCGAGTTCCTTTCATCAAACTTGTCGCTAATTTAAATGCTCTTTCGTGTTTAATCTCTTGGCAAATTATATGAAAAGTGGCTCGAGTTTCTGATCGTTTCAGCATCGTGAAACTCCGCCGGAAGTAGCAGAAGTATTTCAAAGAAAATTTCGAAACGAGATAGTAACGATCGACGGACAATCGGGGTGTAGGGATAAAGCGGTTGTCTCAGAATCGGAAGAATTCGTTTCCATTTCGCTTTGGTTTAAACCTGTCCTTTCAACGGAGATGCTTCTCTTTCACGTAATTGCCGCCTTTAAAACCGTCGACCTGAATCGACCCTCCATTCTGCGGCCGCTTATGTTCGCTCGCTCGGAAATTAAGTAGTCGGCCATTTGTGTTGATCAGACGCTTCGATTGAACGTCCTCCGCCATTCGATTCACGACAACTTCCACTGTTTCTTCGATGATTTCGAGAGATTGCTGTTCGAAAGAGATTGAATTGATCCATTTACCGGCTCTTCCCAAGTGTCCTTTCCTCCCAAAATAAATTCATTGATTTGTCTCTGTTACATCGACAGCGTAGACTATGCTTCAAAGGACAGACATCAAATCAACGCGAAAACATTACTTAACACCTTCGCTATATTCACAGTGAAAAGGCTAAATTTACAGTAAAATATTGTAGGATGCCTGCCGAAAAATTATGGCATTTCGTCTCGGGAACCGTCCACTAGAACTCGTCAGTGAGGCTGACGTGGACTGTCCGTGCTCCAGACGCCTGGGTTCTATATTCTCAGATCTTATTTATAATATCGAAAAGGCTCGAGATGGAGCACTTGCGAGAAAGGATGGAATTACACGCGCGATACCTTGCGGCCATCACAGGAAAGGCCCAAAGGCGCCTGGGGCGCCATGTTCCGCTTATAACCCCCGCAATATAGAATTATCAAAATTTATATCGCCATTATTATAGATTATTACGTTTTTCGGTAACCAATCTTAGTTTATTCAGTTTCCTTCTGCAAATTACAATTCGTGGAACAACCTTTATCACCGCGAGGCTTCCACTTCCGGGGCAGTTTCTTTCTCCGCCGGCAAATTACCGTGGAATATCCGATAAGTAATAATTTCTGCGCATAATCTTCCAAGCGCAGCGAGCACACGACCGAACGTTTTTGCCAAGAGCCTCGGAATTCAGCACCTCGCCCCGTTACGACATCCGTCCATTAATCTTACTTGCGGGGCTTTGATGTAAATTATAAGAAATGCCGTGCCGTTCTGGCCAGGACGTCCTCTTGCTTTTTACGCGGCAAACGGTCCACGCTTTTACCACCCGCCGGACTTGTCTCGCCTTCACCTGCGCCCTGCTTTCGTAATCCCCAAAATGTCTTGTAACGGATCCATTTCTCGACCGGAATTAATTAGAAAAAAAGCGAGTATTAGAAAATCGTTAACTTCCATATTGTTCGATTAAAAAATATTCTTATGGGAACCTTCGAAAGGGTTTCAAAATCGGAAACTTTATATCGACTCGTCCAATCAGATGAGTTTGAACTCTGATGATCGAACTTGATCCGCTTGTAAGTTAGGAAGTTCGGTACCACCTTTCGAACCGTGGCGACCGAACTCGAAACTATGAGAATTCGAACTCTGTCGCGAAGTAGGAAACTTCTGCTCGGCTTAGACTTCTTCGACTTGCATCTGTCTGTAACTTCGTAACAAATTTTGGGAAGATGTTGCATCGTTAACAGAATCGCACAACCTGAAATTGTATACATTAATAATCTCATTACTCGTTCGGATGTATAAACAAAATAAAAAAAAAACATGATTTGAGGACTTCCTCTTGTCGGAAGCAGGAAATTAACGTTACCGATCGTTTCTCTTCCCTCCTTTTTTTCTATCAACCAGGAAGCTGAAACGAATTTGAGCGAGTTAAGAGAAGAAAATTGTGGTTTAATTACCGTGAAAGTGTAATCACGACGGGGAATTTAAATAGTTACTTAATTCAGCGGAGATCTTTTAGATTCCGTTACAATTGTTATCGATAATACGAGGATACATCTTTCTTCTTCCTCTTTAGAAAAAGGAATTATCATTTCTAAGGATATCCTAATTTAATTCGAAGGGAATGAAATAATTCTCGAGCAGCTGTAACTTGGAGAACGGTGACGTAAAAGAATAGAAGAAGAGAAACGAATTGCTACGTCTCTGTTATCGACGATGCGTCTCATATTTTTATCTGGATAAGAAATTTTTCAGAACTGTCACGTTAAAACGACAGCCTGTAAAGTTTCTTAATAAACAATTTAACTTCGTGGAGAAAGTTGAAACAGCTCTCTGGTTAGCTGTCGAAGCAAGACTAAGCGCGGTTATGAAAGAAACGTTAGCTATTTCGCTTTTTAAAAGAAACATCGACTCTAAGAGCTGCGAAACGTATGCTTTTGACACCTTTCAACGATCTTATCGTGAAATATATCTTTCCTCTGATTTCGTTCGATAACTTTCTCATTTTCAATCGCCCTATCGTGAAAAATATAATTCGTACGCGGTTGAAAATCTTTTGACAAATAATCGTGTCATTCGCAGAGTTCGAAAATAAAAATTGATGCAAATGGATGGTTGAGATAAATATTTACTTAAAATGCAGTATGTAGAATAGAATCAGCGATCATTGAGTGAAATTTTAATTTAACCCGACGATTTAATGCGGAACGACTCCTTCGGGCTCTCATTATTTTTCGTACCACGAAAAAGTCCCAAAGCTCCTTGCTTTTTTCACCTACATTTTATCCATTTTCCGTAATTATCCGCTAAAATAGAATGCAATTTAGATATACGATGAGGAAGTAACTATTCTTCTCGCCACCTTGATACAAAGATGGGTCAAGTTTATTATACGTTCTAATGATCCTCGTTAACCTTTATCCGATACGCGTTATTAACCCCTTGAGAGGACTCTTTCAATTTGAACGTTTTCAACGCTGATTACATTCAGAATAGTATCTCGATTCGGTGGTAAGTAAATTTTAAATAAAGCTCGGAGAAAATGGTGGTTCCAAATTTAACGTTCTCTAGCGATTCTTTTTTCATTCTAGATTGATCCGCGATATGATATCTATAATAACAATAATTTATCCGTGCGTCCGTTATCATTAGCAGAAATCATTATGCCATAATTCTTAGAAAAAGGCCGGAGAAAAAAGTACATAAAGAATTTCTAAAAGTAATCTCTGCCTCTGTTTGATACATTAGGTTGCTTAGTCAGCGATCATTCTCAGCCTTGTATTTTATCTCGATCTAATGTATTTCGTGCATGACGAGGCAAGAAAAAAAGAAATTATCGGTACCGTTTCCCCCTTTGCAAAGCTTCGCTACCTATTATAAGGGAAGAGAATTTATGCTTTCACCGAATACTATATATTATACTTCTGTTATGGTTACTTCAAGACATTACTCACCGAACTTATGTGTATACTTTTAGCTGGAATTGTATGTAACTTTCCAGTCATGTTGGCTGACACGATAGAAACAGCCGCGGTTAGTACGACACCTCGGAATATAATTTTTCTTCAGGATATTAGGTAGTAAGTTTTTATTTTATCGTCTCAATTTTCCCTTGAGAATTCCTAGTGCAGTTGCACCTACCTTCTCTGACCATCACAGGTTATTGTTAAAATAATGGAACGACGGGTGAAAATTTTATTGCATAACATTTTGAATTTATTTCATTTACAGACAGCAGACGGCTTACGTGTGGAGCAGTGTATGTCTCGGAGCGTTGTCGATGCTGGCGAAGGAGACGGGCATTACTGTTTTGCCTCTAAACCTTCTTTACGACCTTTGCCGTTCCTGGCATTCAATCAAGAGGTAAGCGTTTAAGCACGTGCAGCAATTTGGAAACAGGACACGCGCCTGCCACCAATAAATCCCGAAATAAGAAGTAACGATCTGTCCCGTGCTCGCGTCTCACCAGTTCTCTGGGTGCCTTCTTTTATAACATCCATCGGAGGGTAAATTTTACCTCGGAAGGATAATACCATCTCGCTTTGGTGTACGCTAAAGTCTTTTCATCTTCGTTTAAATCATGAAAGTCGGATCGTTTTAAAATACAATTTTATTTCACATTTATCATTAACATCTCGTCTTCGTTCATCGCAATTGCAAGAAATATCCTTGCTCGTTAAATGTACTTTAAAATATGTTAAACATTTGCACCATCGCTCAGCGGCGAATTTCTTTCGAACATTTAGAACAATTACAGAAAGTCGAATGCATTAATCGAGGAGGAACTCGTGCAACGAGCAGCAGAAATTATTCCCCCTGATCCTGTCTGTAGCTACGGAAATAAAGTACGTTTAAAAGGGAAATATAAAATCGCGCGGCAGTATGTAACGTGAAATATGGAATGTGATATAGGAATATCGCGAGCTGCTCCTTTGCATACAAGTGGAAAATGGGATTTGTAGGGGGAAGATTTGCGTTAATAGAGAGATCCGGCTATCATCGTTAGACAAAGACGATATCCAATGCTCGGCCGTAAAACAACGAAATCGGATTAACTGTTTACAATGGATTATGGGGGACCATCGTGTACGAAACTCGATCCTTCGAGGGACGAGAATCGATAGAATTAAATTCACCCGCGATTCGAGTCATAGCTTTCGAGTAAATGTAGTTAAACGAGGGAAAATAGTTAAATTTGTTTATTATTAATTAGTTAGCTAACATGTTTTTCTTTTGTTTTTATGTTTCAGGTCTATTTTCGAAGCCAGATGGAACGACGACTCGAGACACTTTTCTCGTCGCGCTGCAGTTCTGCTGGTTTCGGTAAGTTAATTAATAAGCACTTAATCGTAATCAGAGATAATACTTAAGAAATTATATGAAATCTATGCTAGGCATTTGTTCCTCCTTATTATTATAAAATACGATCCAGTTAAACAAAACATGTCACTGCGAAAGCTTACGATTTTTCAAATCACCCCTCAAGCTTCCTTCGCTATAATTCAATTATTATCATGTCACATTCGAATCGAACAAACATCTGACACATCTGTTCGACAATAATGAACAGGGTGTCAGGTTGCACAACCATCAAGAAGGGAAGAATAAGCTAGTCGAATCCTTTTAACGCATTATGCGAATTCAATTGTGCCTAGAAGCCTTCTAAGATTTTCAAACGAATAAGAATAACGTGTTGAAGTCCATTGGATGCGTCGTAATCATATTACTAATATGATAATTGTAGAAGGGATAAAGAAAGTTATTTGAACAAGTTATTTAAATAATCACCCTTTTAGTTAATTTGTCCGATACATTTAAAATTGATGGTATTCTTGGCTAGGACATCATCCGCCAGAATTTCGAGCACGTTTCAATGAAACGGTAACATGCCAGCAGCAATCGATAATAGCCGTGGGCAAGCGTTTTCAGTCGAATTTATTCGACCATTTAGCCGGAATTATCGCGAAGGTCGTTTACGCGGATATAACCGAGAATCCAGGGGGCCGATGGAGAACAGGCCCTCGACATAATACGAATGTACGAGCTTTGTGCAATAGAGGAGGCAGGAAAATTCGCAAAAGTTCCTTCGTTACGATCGATTGAAGCTTGGAATATTGTTTTCGTGGTTTGCATTTCGCGCATTGTTTCCGGGGCACAATGACCTTTGCACTGCATTAGCGGTTCGCGTGAAATTCCGACCAACGTTTTATCCAAAATTATTGATTCTACATTTAGAAATTTAAATTTGAATTGCCATGATGAAGTTGCCGGTGTCCTAGATGATATTCGACAGCGAACAAACAAAATAAAGATACTGAAATCCGTGGATCAAAATGTTTGTGCTCCAATGAAAGATACGATAACATTAGGGTATCTTGAAAGGGTACATAAAATGCAAGGTTCGTCGGAAACAAGCAATAGCGTGGTAGAAAATTCTAAGAAGCTCATCTCGCGGTATTTGCAAACTGCTCAGAACCGCGTCGTTAATTCTTAACGACCGATATCCTCCGTTTTTATCGTCCGGTCGCGGTCGACCACCGATGTTTACAGCAACTCGTGCCTTAAGCGAGTTTAACGATCGTTAACGCAGATACACTCACCGCTGAGAGTTTCCTTTTACGATCGCGCAAGATAAACTGCGCGTTCTATCGAATTGTAGGGCTGCCACGGAACTCGCCCACCCTCCTTCATTTCGATGGCAAACGATCGATTCGCAATGCTAGAAATAAAATAGAACAGCTACTATGAGAATGCTAAAATTATAAGTCGTTTCTCATATTCACGAATTTATTTCGTAAAAATATTAGAGAAAAATATGAAACAAAATAAAATCCATGTAAAAATGATTTTGATCAACGCTTTCTAAAATACTCGGTTACTTTTAATGAAGACACGATTGATTATCAGTAGGAACATTACGCTTCGGAATCCACTGTTAAGCATCTGATCGCGCAATCAGTTAATTAAACGTTCGCATTCAAGTGTTAACTAGACGGATGGAATTATAATCACCCCCGGCAGTCTTAAGATAATTCGAAGCACGCAGATAAGATTCAAGCGGCAAACCAATCGACCAAGCATCGGCATACTGATGTAGAATCAGTCAACAATGCGTGTCCCTAATGCATCGGTTTATCGATTACGTCCGTTACGTTGCACGAAACCGCAGCGTACTCTCGACTGTAACCGGAAGTAAATACTGCTCGATCAAAGCTAACGCAAGCGGGTACACTTGCATTAGTAATTGCTAACTCACTTGGTAAATTGCATAAAAATTTCACCGGCGAAATGCTGGTATTTGCAGACGGCATGATACGTCTATCTAGATTTGAACGTCCAATTATAATAGTAAAACGTGTTATATCATTCTTTTAAATTAAACACAATAGTCTTAAATGAATATCAACAATTTCTTTATCGCAAGTTCGCAAGTTCAACGAGGGAAAAATATGTTGAGTAACCCTCTCGGAAAGGACATACTTTGAAACGTGTAAGTGGCAATAGGTTGCTAGAAAAAGGATGAAAAGGGGGGTTAAACGCGTATAAGGGATCCTGTACGAGGGTTCAGTTCGCATGCCTCCCTCGTTTCTTGACATAAATTAGCATAACTCGGAATCGCGTTCGATTAAACTGCCTTCCGTGCTCACCCTTCACCTTTTTTACAACCTCTATGATACTTTACATACTCGAATATCCTTTTACCTACGATACAAATTACGTACCATCGAGAAAAACGATACGGTGGGTAGCGATTGAGTCGAGCCCGGTGAAACTTTCTGTTAATTTCGTAATCGATGATATTTCTATGCGAGCGTATACACCGACCGAGGTCGTTAATTAAGTCAATGACCCTTTAATGAACTTTGCTTCCATGGGCATCGATTGTAACGCGTAATTTATAATAGCCGTTTCGTTATTTTACTCGTTACATCAACTTAATTAAAATTAATGAACTACCTGCGTAACGTAGCTCGATATTAATTGGCGATTCTATTAATTTTTATTATAAATCTTATTACTGTTCTTCGAGAACTTCCTTAAATTCTACAAAACTTCTAAATTTTTCAATAACGCAAGATTTAGATCGAGTGTTTCTTCTTTTTTTTTTAAATAATAGGATGCAATGGTACCACAATACCACTGTACTCTTATATGTCAAACGAACAAAGATGTAGTTTGTGGGACCACGATACGAGGACGTCGTAAAGAGACGTCGAGACGGCATGGCACCCGTATCGAGTACGGTGGATCTACCGATGTCGGTGTCGGTGTCGGTGTCGGTGTCGGTATCGGTATCGGTGTCGGTATCGGTATCAGTCTCTATCGAAGAAGATATGAATACCTTGGATTGGCAGATATTGTCCGACTGTAGGACTCTTCTAGAAACCACTCGTCCTCTGTATGTCCATTGGCAAGAACATAGAGATCCTGGCAACGGCAGAAATAGAAAGGGGTTCAAAGCGTTCTACAATAGATGAAGAAGGGTAAGGTGTAAAGAGTCGTGTCTAGAAGAGAGGATGGACTATGGGGCTTAGGGAATTGGCGGGAAACGTGACGGAAATGCGACAACGAACGATTCTTTGATATACCGAGAATGGATTATTTTCTGGTCCAAAAATTCTCCATTTTATTTTAAAAATCTTCGTATAATTTAGATGAATTTCTAAATAAATATAGAACGTTGAAGTGGTAGAAATTGAATTTTAAAATAAATTATAACATGCAATTTGATATTCCTCGGACTTTAAGGCAACGCTGAAACTTCGTTCTATTGTGGATGTATAAATTAATCAAGACGTTATTATTAGAAAACAAAGACGGCAGGAGTACACAAGCGAACCGTGTGCTGTATTTCCGCGTGAAATTTTTAGCTCGTACCCTCGTTTCTTGTTTTCCGTTTTCCAAGCTAGCTAATGAAAGCTTCCAATGCTTCTAGCAATGTAGCGAGTCATTGAGCCGCAAGTCGAGAGGCTCCTCCAGAAAAAGCTAGTAAGAGGCTCTTCCGCAATCTGCATTCCCTTTTGTTTTATTCTCATTCATCTTTCGAGCCGTGTAAACGGCAGATAGAGAATTCGTGTTTTAGAAAATACTAGAGTAGCCTACTGTGCAGAATTTTAGCTAGGTCAAGTTTTTTCAATGAAACTGGATCGTATTAATATTTCGATTCGCCGCAAACACACGTAAAAAGCTATAAGCTATCTTTTATGCGATACTGAAAAACGGTAAAAGCGGATGAACGAGCTTTTACATTGCGCGACTAATAAACATTAATATCCATAATACGCGGGAGGAACAAATAACGCCTTTTTACGATGACAAAATTCCACTTTGGTACTTTCCATTCGTACACAACGACGCGCATACGTTTGAATAAATAATCAAACACACCGATATGTTTTCTCTCGGCCCTGTTAAATTCTCTGTGCCGCGCTTGAAGTTATATTTGGAGTCTGGCCAACGAGAAAAATTGTCGCGTAAATACGTGACCGTCGCAATTAAGGGGTCTCTTTATTAAAGGATTCTCTTTTATTTACAGTTTGGTGTGTTGCTTGTTGTACGACTCGCCCTCCTTCATGGCGCTCTACCGAAGTTCTCGCCGCAGGATAATCCAGCAGCTTTTCATCCCTGTTTCCACGTTAGGTGAGTAGCAACATAAGTCCTTTATGCTGCGCCAGTCGTATTCGAGAATCCCATTACAATGTTTCAAAACTCATCGTGGTTCTTGACTTACGGTAAACGTTTCGTATCGCCGGTATCAAGTGAACAGAAAATTAAAATAACAAATAGCCAGGGATAAGATTTTACGGTACATCGAATATTTTTGCCTTTTAAGGCAATGAAAGGCAATTTTGCACAATATTTCAAGTAATAACTAGAGCATCTCTTGGAAATCAATATCACTCCTTCAGTTATCCGATCCATGCCAGTTGTCCCTATTCCAGCAAAACATACGTTGCTCCGAGGGAGTCCCAAGGGAAGAAGGGGTGACTATCTACAGACGAAACAGTCACCCCGAGGCCAAGCAAACAGAACGCTACGTCAAGCTTCGCCTCTCTGCAGGATATCCTTCCTGCACGATCTCCCTTCTACCCCTACCGTCTGAAGAGCCATCGTTTATATCGTACCCGTTGCTTTCAGACTGACCCGAATCTAGCAGCTAGTGCTCGGAGTTAAAACGCTTCGCTCTTCTCTCTTTAGGCTGCGCTTCCAGCGATATCTTCCAACTTCCGAAGCGTCGATCGAATCGTTCGCCAACGAGCAGCATTCTCGTTCGTATTCCGCTACGTTTGAAAACGGCCGTCTCGCCTTCAACTTTTCCAGTTGCTTACTTTACTCCATTTCGGGTTGCTTGCCGGATAGGACGAGAAGGAAAAGGAACTCGATGACTGGTTGCGTTTGTACCGTCAAAGAGCTAAAGCTCGTAGAACTTTAAAAAGAAAAAAAAAAAAGAAAAGAAATTCTCTCGATCGACCTGTGTAGAAGTGGCGCACCTTTAGGGCCGTTCGCAAAGGCGAAAAATAGCGTTGTTTTGATTTTAAGTAGATTTCTTGCTGGTTTCTTTCGACTGATTTTATATGTAAATTGATTTGTTGATACGATTTTTAATAATATCACAGCCTCGTAAATATTAGTGGCGCGATAGCAGATTCTTCTATCTATGAACGGAGGAAACAGGAAAGAGGGATGAAGAAAGGGGTGCAGGGTGGTTGGAGAAATGTGCTGCAAGCTCGTCGCATGCTCAACGAAAATTTCCGAAATATACGACTCGATTTTACGGTTCAACGGGCATGTCCAGCAAATCCGATTTCGCTATCTCCCCGAAGACTGACGATATCGACTGGACCCGGTAGCTATCACGCCGCGAGAAAGGAATATGTCCCGTTGGTTTACGCGACCAGGAAAATAGAACCGATCCCCGTGTAACGCTCCATTTCGATATCTCGATATGACGCGACGCGTTTCCTTTCGGCCTGGCCTGCTCCGCTCTGCTCCGCTATGTTCGCTGTTCCACCATGTTACACCGGAACGTCCGTGGCTACTTCCGCTGCCACTAACGGAAGAATTATTGTATTATTCGAGGAAGAGAACGTGCTCGATCCGTTTTCCATTTCGTGTCCCAGTTTTTCAGCGAACGGACCGGTTACGTATACCGGAATTGTGCCGTTTGATAACGAACAGCCATAACGCACCGGCGTTTTAGAGGGTGAAAAAGAACGCTTCTCTCTATTAATTCTACGAACCGTTCCATTTTGCAATCTATCCGGTTAAATCGAAAATTTCCCATTGAAACCGTGTTAGCAAACACTGAAAAATACATTAATATTTTCCATTACGTTATCCGTAAAGACTATATCCCGGGTGAAGTCGTATTCTGGATCAATAGAATCCTTGCACGTTAACAGTCATCCCGGTTACTCGCCGATGCGAGAAGCAAAGAGCCGAGAGTGGAGGCTTTACTTAGCAAAAGTACAGCCTTAGGAAACGTTCGATAATTTTAGCATATTGAAATATTGTTTCGTTCTTTTCGTGCCGTTCCGTCGTATCAGCGTATCGGAACCTTCCTTTCCGAGCTCTGCTCTTGTATTTATTCTTTTTCTCTTGGTGCTACCCTGGCCCAGCTTCTTTCCTTCTTCTATTCCTCTTTTTCCTTCACGATCAACCAACCGAACAGACAGGGGTTCGAGAAGATATTATGCGAAATACTTTCTGCCCGGCTTTTAGAAACCGGAATACTTTACGAGATGTATAATTTGGCCGGATGTACCGTCGTTTCGTAAAATTTATGATCGTTCGAGCCTACGTCGAGTTAACCTTACGCGAGTGTGTTTCTTTGTACTTTCGCGAAGAATCATGTTGAATTTTCAAGTTTTTCCCCCTTTTTTTTTTCTTTTTTCAACGATTCAAACTCATATGTACGGGTACACGCGACGACAACACGTGTCCCAGGGATGAGGGTGCAACCGGAGGAAATTCGAGCGCGATATTTCGCTTTCCAGCCGTCTGTTAATATCGCGCGACCTAGAAAGATTTGCGAAATTACTTCCCCGCTATGGGCCGTCTGGATGAGATTGAATACCACCGAATAGCGGTCGCGCCATTTTACGGATGATAAAAAGAACTCGGAGGCTTTCGAGGTACTCGGCGTCGAGTAAATTTCATTCTATCTATTCGCTAGATTTGAAATATTTACGCTTCAAGTATTTGCACGATTCTTTTTCGTTTAGCAAATCCTTTTTGTTGGAACAGAAAATAGGGGGATGGAAATATAAAGAGTAATACGTATGGAAGTAGATTGGCGGAATCATTAATATTTAAGTATCGCGCTTTAAAGGGTGAACGAGCTTTCTAGCCGAGCTCGTGGTGTCGAGCAAAGTGGTCGGAGTAACGTGAATTTTGTTACCGCCGCTTATTCTCGCAAAATGCCGCAATTATGGCTTTATTGCGGCATGCACGGAACTACAATTTCAGACGAGGCTGCTTCCAACCAGTGTTCCACCTTATTTTCGCTCGTGTCATGAACGACGGGTTCGATAATAATTCCTCTGCAGACGGAATTCCAGTGACAAAATTGAACCTGATATTCATTTCGCGTAATACGCGCGTACGTTTTGCAATTTAAAAATCGAATTTCCGTGTCATCGGCTTCCTCGTCGAAAACAGAAAAACCAATCCTCCTATCAATTTTTAAATAAAATCAATAATTCGCTTTCTATTTTAACCTGATGGGAATTAAATCAATTATATCATCAGAAAAATATTTTTTTCTACTTGTCAGCCTTTTTACAATTTCCCTATGCAAGGTTTAATAGCAAGCACTTATTCATCCTAATATCGTAATTTTCACGGCGACTATTCGTGTGCAAGTACGCAAGCGGTGTATAACAAGCTTTGACGACAATCGTGCCGCAGCCAGGTTACAAGGGAGCATAAAAGAGCGAACTTGAGGGGTGAAAGACGTCGGATATGGGGTGTGAGCGTAGGAACACGACAGTTGAAATGGTTAAAGGGACCACGTTACAGTGGTATCATGTATCTCGTATAGGGTGTTCCTCGGTGATTAATTCCACGTGGAATCCAGCCTCGTCCATCGTGTCTCATTCCGTTGGCAACGTTACATGCCCCTCTATTCGTATACAGGCTCGACGTTTTCGCGTAAAATATTAATTACGAGCAGATTTGCGCGGCAGAAAGCCGGCTGCGCGTGTGTTTCGAACGTTTCGCGAATCGAACAAAGGGCGAATGAAAATTCCAATGAATTTTCACGAGAAAACCGCTGTGTTTTTTTTATCGATTCAACGACGACGGCAAACGGTATTATTCGCGGAAAAATAAATGGACCGGCAATTGAATTTTGTTTTTAGTGGAATCGAGGATGGAGAAACGTATGGACGTTCCTTCGAGAGGCTGAATTTATTTCGGGCCATGTTTACCCTTAAAAGTCAAGCATTCGTTGGGCCATTCTTTTTTACGATTCGAGCAGACTAAAAGTATTATCTCTCACGCATGGTTCGCGCAATAAATCCTGGCGAAAAGGAATCTTTAGCGAGTCAAACTTCTCTATCGTATGTTAAGCGGTCCTTTTTTACGATTCGAAAGCTTTGCAAGCGACAGAGAGTTGGCATGTCTTTTACATTTAATATCCAGTTTGAAAACTTTGTTTATAGCTAAGTAAGTATGGAAAGTTATGAATACTGTGTCTCATCTACGCGAGCGTGCTTTAACGCCGGGTAGACTGGGAATGATTTTACGCTAGTTATTACCAGAGTTTATGACATTCTTAAATCGCCGTGAATGTTCGTCAGAATGTGTATTCAGGGTGGACTCTCGGAAGAGTTCCCTGTTTACGTCTGTACGCTTGAAACTCTTTTGAACGATGATTCTTGGACAATATAGCTTCAAAGTGGCTATAACTTTATAGCAATTTTAACGATATCAATATTTGATATTAGTATTAAAAATAACCTCTGAATATAAATAAAATTGTTTCATTTTAGAATCATTTATGATCCACCCTCGTAGTGGTGAACATGTTTAGCACACCATGCGTTAGAAGTGCCTCTTTATTTTTCCTTTAAAAATGTATCGTACCGGGGAAACTGTAATAAAATGATAATTAATCGTCACAGTTAACCATCAAGTTTAATGACACAACCACGAGCGATCTGCATAGCCGATAAAAACGCAACTATTCGTGACTGGCTGCCCCAACAACGCGCGACCAGCGAAATCGTTCCACGTAGCCACGATCGTTGCGCGTAAATTTTCGATGGATGGATAAATTTCGTTCGATACAACGAACGGAAAAAAAAAGAAAGAAAGAAAAATTTATTCCTCGTAAAAGCTTTTATGGCGGAAATAAAAGTTGCCCGCGAGCAAATTCTTGCCAGCGAAAAATGCTTGGTTTCGTTCCTCTCCCGTATATTTTTTACCCTTTGTATCCCTCTTCGTTCCTTTCCGTTCTTCGTCTTCCTTCTACAGTCTCGTATGATGTATTTCGCGAGCCACATAAACAATTTGAACGCACAAGCTGCACTAGAATCCGGGAAATTTAGAATTGCTACTATATAGACGTACGAAGCAGCTGGGTAACAAAGTTTCCTTTCAACTAACGTTTTAACTCGTTTAAATTCTTTTCTGGA